GATTTGGATTCTTAATAAGGACCTTTAGTGAGACAAAACATTTAGAGTAGTATTCAGAAAAAAAAATTAGCTTACTGAACAAAGGCGGTGCAGACAAAAACAATGAAAGCTTCACAGAAACTCTTGAAAGCATTTTCTACATAGAAGAGCCATCTGGCAAGGAACATACACACACACCAATACCAACCAAAATAAAACTCGTCTACAGCCACTTCATTTGGGATATTTAAGGCCTCTGAATTGATAGAGGGAAAAGTGAGTTAAAAGCGAACCCACCCACTTCACTTAATATAATAGGTTTGCTGTCTTCAAGTGCGGCAGCATTCCACGAGATAGCTCAGGAAGCTCGAGATGAAGGGGACCAGATAATAAAAAAGATTCTCAACACGTGGCAGAAACAATTACATTACAAAATAATCGATAAGATATACAGAAAAAAAGGACGTTTAAAATTTATAAATCAGTGAAGACTGAACAAACTTTGTTTATAAATATTAGATGCTTTGACTGATACACGCAAAGCACTCAACTGTTTCAAGTGCTGATTTAACTAGAATTGTCAGTTACAGTAAATAAAAAGCCACTTCAAAATTACAACCACTATTGCAATGCGATTCGATTTGTAGCCTATCTATTCCAATAAGTAAATTTAAGCCTTTCTTTTTATTTTCAGTTAAATTATCTAAACTCGCGGTGTCTCCAAGCGCCATTTGTTTTCGAGTTAATTCTTTTACGTGTTAGCAAAATAACAATGATATTAAAAATTATAAACAAAAATTTTCGTCAATCTTAAAATTCTAATCAAATAACGATCAGATCTTACAAACGTAAATTGAAACTATTTGTATATTATAGTGGCCAAAATCATTTGAAACTAAATTTACTAAATTACGAATGAAATAACAATGCATAAGTTATGCTACCAACTCAGATTTAAAAATAAAATATTCCAGAAAAACTTGAAAGGTTACAGCTATAAAACAAGTATGTGAAAAAAAAAACTAATTCAAGTGTCAAGGGGTGCAACCTAAAAAATTACACATTAGAATAGTTTTAATCGCCTATAAACGAAGAAATTTTTTCGTATATCTGACAAATATTTTTACATCACAAATTGCCAATAATAATTTAGTTAGAACTACGTAACTAACAATTTCAAACAATAATTTACACAGACAAATTAGAATTTTAAAATATTAATAAATTTTTTTTAATATTATTTATTTTAAATTCTTACCATGAAAAAATTTGCAACAAATCCCAATGTTGTAATATTATATTGGTAAGATTGCAAGAAACATTTATAAGAAATATAAAGGAAATAAGAATTATAACGAATTAGCTAAATTGAATAAAATAATGAAGAATAAGTATAGAGGAATTTTAAATTTAATGTCATTCAGTTAAAATAAAAATGCAGCAGATCCTATCATCGAAAAGTGATGGGTTGAAAGAAATTGAAGATTTTGTAAGTACTAATCTAATCGTGTGTGCCGACCGACCTGTGTAGGGGCCAGGGAACTGGCCTTGCATCAGAAAGAATATGGATTCGAATCCCGGGCAAGGCATGAATGATCTTTCATTCTCTCTGTACTATCTGTCCTTACTGTGAGAGCAACGTTTGCCCACCTAATATGGTTCCCCTGAAAGAGTGGCCAACAAGCCTACCCTTCAGATGCCTGTATGACGTAGGTCATTCCTCGGGCGGACATTGGAGGGAAAAAAAAATCTCTTTGTGAGTTCAATCACGGTTAAGTTTGCAACGAAACCAAGTACTGTTATTTTATACACTAAAGAGTTAACAATTCAGCAAATTTATAAGGGAAATTGGAATTATTCTCAGATAATGAAAAATTTTATAATTAATTCTTTTCATGCTATGAGATATATAAAATCATAGTTTAAAAAAAAAAAGTTTTAAATGTCATTGCCAAGGCCAGTCCTAAATTCCAAACTCAAAACTTTTGCATTAACATAAAAAAAAGAACAAAATCAATTTTTTTCAAATTTTTTAACCTCATATTTGGAAAAAGCTTACTACGCTAAGCTAAAGATAGAGCTGCTGTAATATTGGATAAATCCAATGTTACAGCGGTACTTAAAGAAGACGAATGCATATTTGTTTTGTAAAATGGCTTCTGCAAAGAGTTACATAAAAATGAAATTGAGTTTTTAATTTTTGCAATCTCCAAATTTGTTATATGCAATCAATTTTGCAATCACTACATTTGCTGTTACGAAATACGCCAATTTTGATAGAAGAGGGGAGTAACTATTGACAAAAAAGTAAGTATACCGAAATTACTTGATGCCATTTGTATTTTTTGATTTCATGAACAGAATTTTTAATGCGAAATCAAATTTTCTCCAAAAATTCAATTTTCCTAACTTTATATGTAATTGGGCTTCATATTTACACTAAAACTTATTATTTTATTTTAAACAGTTCTGTTTAAATTCACAATTAAAATGAACTGAATGTCATCATAAAACTCATATAATTGACATTAAAATCACAAGTCAATGTCTACTAAACTATAAAAATACTTATTAAGCTATAAAAATACCTATTTTTGGAGCGAAATATAAATTTAAATAATATTTAAAATATTAAGAACAGATTTCAATTACTATTTAGTAATTTGTTTGTAAAAAATGTTCAAAGATTCTAATAAAAAAAATACTAATGTTTGTAATTTTATCATTTAATCACTTTTCATATTGTTTAAAAAAAGTTCTGATGTTACTTTTTTTCTGCTTCAATATTTAATAAAAGAATATTTGTTTTGATTTGCTTTTTGAAATTTTTTAAACATGCACCTTTTGTTGCAACAAAATAAATTAATGATAATAATCAATTATCATTAATTTATAATAATAAATTAATGATAATGATAATAAATTAATGATAAATATATGAAAAGAAATAATAAAACAAAATTTTTCTATGTTATCATTATTACTCTCAATACATAGCCATCTTCAAAAATATGTGACCACTTAAATTAACACAATATTTACGAAAATAATTAAAAAAAATAAAACGAAAAATTCTATTGAGTCGAGTCATTATCAAAATCAATAACGGCAAATGATTCATTTAGATAATGTTATACATAAAGTAAATGACGCATAAATGGTTGTCGTTTGCTCAAATTATGTAAGAAAACTGTAAAAAATATGTTCTTACAGTTGGCTATAGAATAAAATAATAGACTCCTACGTTTTATCTTTCAATCTGTTATTAGTTAATAAAAACATTCGACGATGTTTTTGAACTTTCTTTTATAGATAAAAACTGTAATGTGATTTATCAGGAATAATACAAACAAAAAACTATTAAAATGAACTATATTATTTTTTTACAATTGTGATATCATAACTAGAAGAATATATTTTTTAACTAGTTAATAAAAATCAGTTATTTAAATTTTATAATTCAATTAAAATTACATTTATTTTACAGAGTTATATTAAACTAAGAAAATAAATGCGAATACAAGGGCAATTACATTTTTTTATAAAAGTAATTTTTTTACACATATATATTTTTGTTTAAAATTTATATAATGTTTGTTTTCTAAATAGAGTAATGAACCGATATGTTATTTATTAAAATAAATGTTTCGTAAAAACGATTGTTTATTTTTATTAAGTTATATACAAAGAAATGAATTGATTTTTTTAAAGTTATATTAGGTTTACATAACATGTAATTAAATTTATGTTGACATTCAGTAAGCTGACAACTCTAGGGGTCATGACGAAGAAACTTTTTAATTAAAAAAAAAGCGTCTTGCAAAAGCGCAATGCGACACTTAATTATTTGTTTACATTGTCATGTTAGACGAAGAGATATTACTATAATTTATAACTCAATATTAATTATTAAAAATATTTTCTTATTTATTTTTTATAATCAAAAGCTAAATGAAATTCATAGTTGTAGTTATATTATTTAATAAAAGAAAACCTGAACTAATTAAAAAAAAAACATTTTTTTTTATTTGGAAAACAATTATTAAAATTTATAAATATTAAAAATATTTCCTTCTGAAGTATTTCGATCAATATTGAGAAAACAATGCTAACGAAGTAGTTATTTTTTTTAAATTTTTTTAATGACACCGATGGATAATAATTTAATGGTCAAATAATAAAAAAAATAATAATGTTTATTTTAAAAAGGTTAACAGATCGATAAGTAGTACGGATAAATTTTGATTATTTATTCCGTTTATAAAAATGGATTATTTTGCATTAATATAAATTTAAACTATTCTCATTGAAATATAAACAGAAAAAAGTAAATAATATAGTATTTAACAATGAAACTTCATTTAATAATGGCTTTTTTTAAAATGATTTAGTTAAAAACAATTAACAAATATTTTGCATGAATTTCAAACGCAGTATTTGCTGAAATAACGTACAATAAACAACTTTTGGAGAAATTGTTTACGTAATCTTTACCATAAAGGTAGCACTAAATATTGTTATGGTTTAGAAAAAAAATGCAATGGCTCACAAAATTTATGCAAAAAAAAAAAAATTCAAATATGCATTGTTAGCTTAGAGTTTGTTTAACAATATTTATTTTTACTTTCCACTATGATGAACAAACAAACATATTATAACACTCACTTTAATAGTTAAATTATTATTAATAGGTGAGCTTATTATTCAAAATTGAAATGATTATTTAAAATTGTAATGATTTTTTTGTTATTGAATTTTTTGTTGATATTTAAAATAATTACTTATAACGGATATTTTTTGTTTATGATAGAAATGATTATTAATTATTTATAACTGCATTTAAACTGTGAAAAATAAAATTAAAAAAATGCTAATATTTAAAATAAAAAATTATCATCAAAATCCCTAGTGGGAAAATTTAATTTTATTTTAAAGTCGCATTCACTGCAATGAAAGGGAAACAAATCGAACAAAAGAAAACAAAAAAAACAGGAGAATATTATATAATGAAGGGAACTTACCTGATTTTTTGGATCCTTTCTTTTTCTGTTGATCAAGAGAACCATGCGTGAGGAGTTCACACTTAGTCTGCCGAGAAGGAAAAAAAAACAGAAACTAAATGTCACGTTTTACTATTCGCTTGGGGTCAGCCATGTTGGATGGACGGTTTCATTTTATCCGGAGTAGGGGGGTAAAGGTTGAGTAAAAGACCAGCTGGTGGTGGAGAGGACCGGGGGAAGGGGGATGATGATAATGAAACAGATGTTTCATTTTTATCAATTGCTTGGCAGAGAAAGTTCGATACAGGAGAACGTCGAAAAGCCAAAAATCGTTTTAAATATAATTTAAGAATTATAAGTTATTTTATATTTATTACTTAATTTTTTTCTGCATTTATGAATTTATTATAATCATCTCTAAAATTATAAATTAATCATAATTTTTTAATATTTATGAATTTAAATTTTAATAATTAATTTTAGTTATTTTAATATTTATTATAATTAATTTTATAGCTAAATAATTAACTATTAATATTTAAATACTTATTATCTTTCTTAATATTAATTAATTCATTATAATTTAAATTTATTTTAATATTTCAATTAAAAACGATAAATTTAAAGACAAATAATCACCTTAATTTTAAATCATTTCTAGTGAAATCAATTAATTCAGTTACAAATAATGATTTTAATTTTAAGCATTTCAATTTCAAATAATAAGTTTAATTAAAAATAATTATTTCAGTTTTTTAAGAAATCAATTCAGTTAAAATTGATAATTTAAACTGAGTAAACTTGTTTTACGTTTGATATTTTTGTAATTTATGGTCAATTCCTTTTTTAAACGATTATGATTTTCGTTTAAGCAATAAATTTAATTAATTATGAATATAACTATTAAATTGAATTCAGATACAAAAGAATAATTAAACTATCATTTAAAACTGACTATATTTTTTAAAACTGAAATGATTATTTGTAATGCATTTATTGTTTGTGATTAAAATGATTGTTTGTAACTAAAATTCATGCTGCTACGTTTGCAATAATCACAAATTCATTTTAGACATAAATGTATTTAAAATTAATTTTTTGTTAAAATTATTAAAATTTTTTAACATTTGAAGAATCCGATTGCATTTGACATGTTATTTGGCATTAAATTAAAAGCAGTATGAAAAATGAATTTATTTAAATTTTAATTGGCACAATTCCATTTGAAACACATGAGTTTGATATATTTAAAGTTAAACTGCTTTAACAAATAAAAATTTCAGGGAAATGAAAGATATTAAAATTTAATAAAAGATTATATTAAAATTTAAGAGAAAAATTTACTCTATTTTTTTTACCTGTAAGATATTTTTTAAAAAAAAACTTATATCATAAGCATAATAAAAAAAGTTTGTTTTAAAATTAAATGAATTAAGCCGAAAATTAAATTAATTTTTCCTAAAATTTAGTCTAAATAATAATAATAAAATATTGCAAATATTATTTACAAAGCTGAATTAAATTGTAATTCAAAACTTAACACATTATTTTTTTCCTAATGGCATCTTTTATTCAAATAATAAAAACTTACAAGCCATTTTTAAATTTAAAGAAATATTTACTTACATATAGCGCAATAACTATTAAGGATGAAATTTATTATGAAAATTTATTATGATTAAAATTAAAATCATTGTCTAATAGAGGGAATTTCCAGTTCTCTTTTCTTGTATTTATTAAAGTAGATAGACTTAGAGGTTGGTCAGTTTCTAGAAGCAAGACACGTCGACCAGAGGTTTTGTACCCCTTTATTGACGTAAAGAAAATGCTAATAGTTGATAAAAAATATCCAACATGGCTGACTACATAAAAATATATGTAAAAATAAAAGTATTGCAAAAACAAACATAACATTTCATACATTAAGACATATTTAAATAATAAAATAATGAAAGTGTAATAAAAATTTAGTACAAAAGTTACTGAATTTGTGAGTAGTACACCAGTACGAAATCATCTTTATTACAAGATGATTTTTTAAGAAATATTCATGGGATTTATAGAATATCAAATTGTAACAAAGAATACATAAATTTCTTTAGCATAAGCTTCTTAATCAACTTTGCAACCTGCTAATATAAATTTGGTTTTGAAATTTATAAATCAAAATGTATTTTCTTAATAAAATAGACGCTTGAATAATTAGGCAATATTTGAAGAGAAGAGCATGCATTCCTTCATAACGGTTTTTTCATAATGGCTGTTTTAAAATATCCATATCATTAGTTTCAGATTGCGATAATTTAGATGGTGGAAATTAAATAAATAACACCATGCAATATAATTTACAGGTACAAATATTTTTTTTATGGTTACAAATATTTTATTAGACATAAATATAACTGGATATCATTTTTTAAAAACAGTCAGTTTTGCAACTAAAATGTGTTTCACCCTTTGACGCAAGTGGGATTAGGTGTTCCTTATATATATTTCTTTCCTGACGCTCTAATTACTAGTAAAAAAAAATTTTAAAATATTTTAATTCTAAAAAACAGTATAATAGTTACTAAAAATCTATTAGATTATGGGAATTATTTTTAATTACTAAAATATAAAACTCAAAAACGGTAGTTTTAAAATGTTTTTTATTCATATTCATTTGTAAATGTTGATTTTGTAAATTAAAGAAATTTCACTGCTGAATAACTGTTTCTCTTAGATCTAAATAACTGCAAATAAGTGTAAATTTGAAGAAAAAAAATATTGAGCCTTGCTTGGAATATTTTACCTTGAAAGCAGAAAAAAAATGTCGGTGTTTTATGCTGTATTTCAAAACAAAAAAGTATTAAAATGCAAAATGTAATATTTTCACTTATTTTGATCTAAATTAATACAAAATGAAAAAGGCTTGGAAAATGTGTTTAATAAAAATTACGCTTCGAAAGGCTAACTGTGTGTTAATCTGGTTACTGTTTGTTATTTTAAACTCTTATTTATGTTTTTTTTGCAGAAATGGTTTTAGGATCTAAAAATATCAATAATTCAACTATAGATTGACTTAAAAATATTGACTTGACATAAAAATGTAATAAAATAATTTTGTGATAAGTTAATAGTCGTGGTATAGATTTATGATTTTAAATAAAAAGCATAGCAGCAGGAGTCCCAATGTCTGAGTGCTGTGGACCAGGTTCTATCCTCGAACCGAGCAAGGTTGACTCATCCTTTTAGAAGGCCGATAAAATGAATAGCAAGCATGCTAGAAAACTAAACACTTGATTGCCAAAGTGTTCATTAAAGTTAGGGCTCCACAAATTGGTTCCCAGCAGCATCATGACGGCAATACGCACCGACCGCCTTTACTTTTCAGACAAGCTTATATCCATCGATCTAAAGTTGAATGAGCTTCAAGTCACAACTCAGATCGAACCTCGGTTTTACACAATGAGAGCTCAGTGCCCTACCCATTCTGCCTGCGTGGTTTGTGAAAAGTTATAATTTATAAAATAGTCATAATATTCTTTGAAATAGTATTTTCAGGCAAATAATTATAAACATTTGTCTGAATAGTTTTTATTAGCTCAGAGGCTTCTTTTAGCTTATATAAGCGGTTCCCAATATTTTTCGGCTATGGAACCCTAAACGATTGAGCATTTTTTGGTGGAACCCCGACATCATGAATGAAGTACCTTAGCGACTGTGAGTATGCAAATCAAAGAAATACTACTAATTATTTTGAAAATAATTAATGGTTTTATCAAATACTCTTAAAATTAAGTTTCGTGTCAAACAGTTGCTTCACAGGACTAGAACAGCACCTAGTTCCTGTTCTAAATAGTATGTTTTGGGGGAATACATAACAAGAAAATGAATTAAGTACACTGAATCATAGGTTTCGAAAAAGAACTTTTAAAGACGTTAATAATGGTTATCTAAAAAAAAATAGATCTTAATTGTTGAGTTTGATTACTTTATCTCGAATTCAAAAGTTCGATAAGAAATACAGATGCATATTTCTTAATAAAAGCAATTCCTTATAATAATTTATTGTTTTTTAAGGAAAGATAAATGATTTTTTTAAAATTTTGCTATCTCTTTTGTGACTGGAATTTCGACTAATTTCATAAAATGGCAGAAATATTAAACAAGTTATGGATGATTGGTTAGATATTAATGGAATTCACGTTTGAAAAATCATTACAGGTTCAAAAAATTCTTAAATCTTGGAACCCCCTGTGACCATTCTACGGAACCCTAAGGTTCCGCGGCACATCTTTAAGGAACCGGTGGCCTTTAGGATCTTCAGCAAACTGAAGTTGAGCAAATTTGAACCCAGACACCTCAACTGTTCTAAAAACAAATAACTTTTTTCTTAAACAGTATATTTAAAAAAAAAATATCTTTACCATTACATTTGGAATAGAAGCAAATTTTCAATTTCAATGTTCCGTGAACGGACGTGTTTCATTCACTAAAGTTTAAATTGTTAGCAGCGCCGTTAACAAAAACATAAATTGACGAAACCACTTAGTTCCGCTTAACACGTGACTGAAATATCGAATAATAGGATACGATAAAAAAAATAATAAAACTATTACAGAAATAACTTCAAATAAAGAAAAGCATATATTTTAATAATGAGTGGCAGTTTATAAAAGGTTATTATTAGAAATGGAGAGAGAGGGGGATACTTTGAAATTGGAAAGTTTTCAATTACACCCCTTTGATAATTCCTTTTTCTCATATTCCAATGAACAAGAAAAATCATTCCCTATTAAAAGAATAATAACATTTTATTGTTCATTGTTCAAACGAGGTTTCAGAGAAGAAAGGGCGATAGTATATTGGAAAAAAAAGAACAGTTGGTGGGTTTCATGTTAAGACACGCCCTAATTACTCCACTTCCATAAAATCAGTTATATTACGAAGTATTGTCTGGGAGCACTGCTTATATTTAATTGGATTAACTAAGATAAAGAAGGAGTTGTGGTTTGAATTCATATGAAACTTTAATAAAGATGAGTTTATTTTGGCGAGAAGAAATGAAAATTAAAAAGTTAATAAAGAAAAATATGAATACAGTTG